GGGGGGGAGTACTTTATCTTTCACTCAAAAAAAAAAAAAAAAAGAAAGCATTTAGGCCTTTCACATGTAAATAACCTGAATTAAATTAGAATGAACAAAGAAAGCAATTATCATACTTTGTCTAACACCTGTTCTGCTGATCTCCAATTCAAAAGCATATGCTAAAAGCAGTGTGAAATATAACAAATAAAGCTCAATGAAGTTATGAACCACAATCTACATTAAACTTTGCTTTTAAGTGACAGAAAAACAACGGCCTTTCACATGTAAATAACCTGAATTAAATTAGAATGAACAAAGAAAGCAATTATCATACTTTGTCTAACACCTGTTCTGCTGATCTCCAATTCAAAAGCATATGCTAAAAGCAGTGTGAAATATAACAAATAAAGCTCAATGAAGTTATGAACCACAATCTACATTAAACTTTGCTTTTAAGTGACAGAAAAACAACATTTTCAAAGTTTTTCCTACAAACAGAATTCCTACAAGTCTTAAGAAGTATATTCCTCTTACATTTCAATCCTGAGTAGGATCATTGCAAACAAACCTTCCTTTTCAGGCATCCCTGATTAAGAAACCAATATTGCAGTAAGCACCCTACCTGTTGTTGCTTTTTATAACAAACATACATCTTACAGATGACCAAAATATATCTTACTGCTAGCTTCAAGAAAACAAGCCAAAATTTTGTTTGAATTTGGTATTAAAATTACACAGATTACATAAATTTGGAATAAAATTTTGGAATTAAAAGGAAATGAGAAAGTTCTAAAACTAAGAGGTCATAGTATTTAGTTCTGCAACTCTACCATACATCATTGATTGAGTCTAATATAAATACATTATCGTTAAAACAAGTATTACAATATATTCTCTTTAGGTGCTATACGAGTAATAATGAGGTATTAATAAAGAATGACTCTATAGAAGGAATAGGTCTTAGAGAAGTAATCTGTGCTGTCACAGAGCTGTTGATGGTAACACTGAGTTGTCCTTACTACAGCAAATTGCCTGTAACCCTTTAAAGTTCATGTGTATAACATAGACGTTCCAAAACGAAAATTATTTATGAGTTAATGCAACTTGGAAAATAACTGCACAAATAACACAGATAAGCTTATACAGATGTGGGTCAATGTATCTTAAAATCCATTTAATAGAAATAAAAATTCAAACAACCAACTTGTATCCGTAAATTTTCAGCGAGTAGTTGCTTTGGCAGTTACTCCACTTTGCTGTGTATACATTCTTAAAACATTCACATCTACCACATTCCTTAAACTTCATAAGACACCGTTAAGTCGTGCACACGGTTATCAGAGTAGTCACGAGTCAGCATCTTTGCTCTCCCAGCCTCTGCTCAGCCCAAAAACACGTTAATTGCAACTTTTCTAACTTATAACACAATCCAATAGCCTTCAGCACTCTTAATTGCAAGTAGTAGGAGGACAGATTTATTAAGTTCAAAGTTCCAGTCTTGCCTTGAAAGGACTGGGTGGACTTCTAAAGAGGATCACAGTTACGATCTCCTCAGGGCAGGGACCATTTTATTCCTCTGTAAAAATTAAACTGAAGGCCCATACCATACAGCAATAACACATTTGTGCGACTTACATGAAAACTAAACACTAAGTTAAAAAACAGAATATTTACACAAAGACCACACCTTTTTAGCAAGTTTTTCAACTTCAATAAAATCTTCAATAAAAGAATATCGCCCCCTCTCTTATTTACAATAAAGTTACAACTGTTTTAGTTCAACTCAATTATACTAGATATGCTAAGGAACCCTCCATACTTTTAGATAAACCGATTACAGCACTTCATTTTGAAACATTAAAACTACTGTTAGAGTTTCAAGTTGGGAGTATTACAAATTACATGCTTTCAGTAAGTTGTAAAATTAACTTGTCATAGTAACTTAAACTCTAGTAACAATTCTGAATTTGGAAGATTTTGTAAATGTGAGGTATGACATCCAATTACTACTCTTGCCTTATTCCCTAATTTTGGGCATATGACTACATTAGTATTGGGCAGGTATAGAAAACGGGAAAGTTAACATTTATGAGAGATTACCATCAGGGTAATATTGCTGGTTCATGCCTTCTGGAGGACCTTGTCCACCATGACTGTATTGGTCCCCATAATAGTCTTCCTGGCCTGAGTACTGCTGTGGTGGGCCTGAAAAACCACAACCAGTCAATACGTAAATAACTTGTTTTCTCTGTTATAAAGCCTGCTAATTTCTGATTTTAGTATGAGAAATATTTCTCAAATGTACTCCCCACCCATATCGTTGCATTTCAGATAACATACGTAATCTGGTTTACTTTAAAAAAAAACAAAACAAAACAAAAAACAACTTATCTATCTATATATACACACACACAGTTGTTTGGCTGCACTTGATTGAGCACATATATAAAAACCTTCAGTTTTGAGCTCATTTTAGCAACATGTGCTTAACAGACTAAGGTGCTAAAAATAAAGTTATTCCTCTTCTAAAAGGACTGGCAAGAAAAAAAAAAAAGAAAAAAAGAAAAAAGAAGCAACATTGTGGAACATTGTTCCTTTTTTTGTAATTGCATGAATTCAGAACCAAGCAGGTACTCTGTTCCTTTTCTGTACCTATCATTTAAATATTGAAACAGAATTCTGCATCAGCATATCTGAGATGCATATTTTTACATACTTTTTATCAGAAAGAACTCAAAACAAAAGAAATACTTTTCTTCACATTTCATGGTGATACCAGTAATCTGTTGCTGCAAGAACCACCCTTAAAAGGGTAACAAAAAGAGTCCACAAACAGCCTGTGACACCCAATGATTTGATCGAAATTGCAAGCAAGAAAAGTGATTTTAAATAGTTTTAAAGATGGTTATTTAAAGCCAATGTAAAAACACTGAAGTGAAGTCCTACCTTGCTGTGGTGGCCTGTATGGAGGAATCTGCCTCTGACCCATCATGTGATTTCCTTGGTTAACTTGGCCCATCATTCCCATAGGTGGCTGCTGCCCCTGGTAATGCTGGCCACCAGCTTGTGGCATGTTGTATTGCTGGGAGGGAGGCTGCTGGTGCATCATTGGACCTGTAGAAGGAAAAGTAGCAAATACATCTTCTGTAACACATAACTTGTGATTAAATCCTTCAAAAAGAACATGGAAGACCCAAACTTTTAAGAATAGACCAGAAAAAAGCTCTTATTTCCAGTGCCCTCATAAGGATTTGTTGTTTCTAGACCTATGCAAATGCAGGTGATCAATTCAGAACCATATTACAAAATAGAATTCTGTCTCCATGAGGCTTCTTTCTAGACAATCTCTTCAAACTACTGTTGTGGTTTAAGCCCAGATAGTAACTCAAGAGCCACGCAGCCGCTTGCTCACTCTTCACACACACACACACCACACCCCCCCCCGCCCCGGCCTTTTTTCCCCCTTCACTCCCGGTGGGAAAGAGAAGAGAATCGAAAGAATGTAACTCCCACGGGTTGAGATAAGAGCAGTCCAGTAACTAAGGTATAATACAAACCACTACTGCTACCACTAATAATAAGGGAAATAACAAGGAGAGAGAACATAAAACTAAAAAGGAAAGATAAAAAGAACAATAAACACAAGTGATGCACAGTACAATTGCTCACCACCCGCCGACTGATACCCAGCCTGACCCGAGCAGCGATCTGGGCCTTCCAGGTGACTCCCCCCAGTTTATATACTGGGCATGACGTGCTGTGGTATGGAATACCCCTTTGGCCAGTTTGGGTCAGGTGTCCTGTCTCTGCTCCCTCCCAGCTTCTTGTGCCCCTCCTCACTAGCAGAGCAGGAGAGACTGGAAAGTCCTTGATCGGGGTAAGCATTACTTAGCTTACTAAAACATTGGTGTGTTATCAGCTCTGTCCTCAGACTAAAGCCAAAACACAGCACTGCACCAGCTACTAAGAAGGAGAAAAATAACTGTTGCAACTGAACCCAGGACAACTACATAGACATTAGTTTACTCATGCACGAAGGTAACTGAAACACTTTTACCATTTTTCATTTGCTTATTTTAAAAAGCATCTGCAAAGAAAGTGTAGATGAAAACCTGATTGGGTTTTATCTACACAAAACTATAAGTCACAAAAATTATTTCATTATTGCCAGCTCCTTAGGAAATAGGTTTAATATACATGTTGTTACAGTCCATCAACAAGCTGTTATTACAAAATAAAGAACTGTATTTAACCTGCAAAGACAAACCACATGTACAACTGAGTCAGGCAATCACACAACAAGCAGTATGCTGAAAAACCCACAGGAATCCATGCTCTGCCCACCACTGAACAGTCCCAAGCAGCCTGTAACAAAAATCTTCTTTCATACCAAGTTGCACCAAGTTTCTACAAACCACAGGAAGAGACCAGGAAAGATCAAGTACTGTCCATGTTTTACCAACTGAGAAAATCTGATTAAGGCTGAACTGAAGAAATGCAAACTTCAGTAATGAAAGCAGACAGTTAAAGAACACCCTGCTGACACCATACAGCAATTAAAATGATGATTAGGCCATATCATTATATGAGATTACAGGTTAGGTCGATACGACTTTTAACAAAGAACAGCTTTTTCACTTCTGTAGTACCACTTCAGAAAAGAGTTGTTCCAGTATTAAAAACATAAGAATTGTGAAAGGAGCTAAACTTCTTAAACAACATATTTTTATAGTGTATTAATTCAAACCACTTAACACATACTGGTGCTATAATGGTGAAATCCTAAAGTTTTTTGCCCCCCCTTAATGTTTTATAAACTATAGACAACAAGCCTCACTAAAAACCAAAACAAATCAAAACATCTAACTAGCACAGCCACTCCTTAGCTCCATCCCAGAGAAAAGGAAGGCATCATCCAGCTTTCTGTACGCTAGACTTTGCCATTGCATTGAATATTTTTAAGTAACTAGGTGCTGGAGCACAAGTAGAAAGTCCTACATGAAACCACTTTACTGAAAAACTACCTAGATAAAGACAATACTGACAATCAATTTATATAAGGAAAGGAATATATAGTCACTTACATCCTGTCTACGTGGGGTTACAAGAGAAAGTTAAGCCAAATTAATTAATGGTGTGAATTCAAAGCGTGTCAGTTAAATCCCATTAAGTCCCTGTGTGAAATCTCTCGGTGAGAAGTAGCCTTAGTTCTGTTAAGCTTCATTTTCCTCTGAAGATAAATATTGGCCACTTTTAAAATGATCCAGTTATGCTTCTATCCTTCAGCATGGCAGTTTCTGTGCCCCGATTTTCAAGTTAAAAAAAAAAAAAAATGGTACAACTGTGTTTTTCACTTAGCAAAAATCTATTTAATTTGTTTATCTTCTGAACAAGTAGGTAATTTAGATTATTCCATTTCACTGCTCCTCTGTTTGGAAGTACTGAGAAACATTAAGCAGCCTTGAAAAAAAAAAAATAGCTAGAAACTTGTTGCCATAATATTCCTAGATCTCAAGAAAGCTTGTTAATTAACAATATTAATATTAGTCACAATACAATGTGATAAAATGTGTTGGGTCCCCATGGTGCAATGTAGAGGTTTTCTGTTTGCTTTTTAAATTAGAACTTCATTAACGCTTTGTAGAGCCACAATGAGAATTCACTACCCTGTATCAGACTGTGCATTGTGTTAATAACAGAATGCCTGGCTTCCTTCCAGTTTGGTTCACATCCCTCTCTTATTAAGAAGATACCTAAAAGAAGAAACATGTTCTCCATCATCTCACACAACAGAGCCATTTTATGGGGAAATTTTGAGGGGTGAGGAAGTTCAAATCTGTTTTTTTCTTTTGAAAAATGAAGCCAATAAAGATAATTTATTCATTATATAATACTTAATATGATATAAATCTAACGTAGAAAAACCCTGACAATGACTTAAGGAAACTGACAACCTAGCCTTCAGACACGTAAGGTGAATATTGAGGAACAGAAATGTGAACTAGAAGTGATTCCCAGATAAACCTAAAAATAATCAAGACCAGAAGTGTACTGAGGATGAAAGAGCTGCAGAAAAAACCAGAGGTTTAAAAATGTCTCCTTAGCTTTGTCTCTTCTGCTGAAATTCAGATATTGGTGGTAAATGTTATGAAAAGACAAGAATAACTGCTGACATCACTGAAAACTTCTGAAGAAGCAGAGAAGTCAGGAACTACACTCACAAATGGACTAGTGGCTTTGCTGTTCTGATTAAAGAGCTACGGGAGCAGCTGGGTATAGCCAAAAACCAACAGTACAAGCTCTTGGTTCTTCAGTCATCAAAAATGTGTAGGTTTTGTTGCTAAAAAGAGGTTTATTCTTTACGCATTTCACAATGTGCGCTCGTATTGATAAAGCAACTGGATATCTGTATCTACAGTATCAGTGAAGTACACCATGACAATTTACAACATTTTTTGTTGTTTTTCACATTTACAAAAAAGAAAAAAAAAGGTTGTTTTTAAACCTAAATGGCAGTGGTAACTCTTGCAAGAGCCAGCTTAGGAACTCTACCGTAGGATAAATGCAGCTTTCAATTTTCCCAAGATTCCTGACAAAAGCTACAATTCAGATGTACTTGGGTTAAATGAACCAAAATCTTAAAGGTGTTTCGACATGAGGGGCCAGTTTAAACACTATCTCAAAAGACTGAGGACATTTTTTTGCTACTCCTAATGTATGATTAAGGCTGCAAATTAAAGGTAGTAGAAACTTTTTCACTCACTTATTCCACAGTTCTCCATCTCAAACTGAACCATAATTTCAGATGTCACTTAAGAAAAAAAGTACATAAATAGAAGTCATACCAAAAAATTCCTTAGTTACTAATGTTACCTTTCACATTTTACACTAGAGAAGACAGATAAAAGAATGAGCAATGTGGCGCTTGTTCGTATCTTTGTTTTCTCAAGACAGGAGAATTGTGGTGTCTTCTACAGCTAGACACCCTACAAATCCAGCTACAGCATGATTGCATTTCAGAACGTAGAGATAACTTTATTTTTATTTAATAGGCTTGATGTCCAGAAAATTGAGACTGCCACAAGGATGATCAGGGGGCTGGAGCACCTCCTGTATGAAGACAGGCTGAGAAAGTTGGGGCTGTTCAGCCTGGAGAAGAGAAGGCTGCGTGAAGACCTCATAGCAGCCTTCCAGTAGCTGAACAGGGCCTATAAGGATGCTGGAGAAGGACTCTTCATCAGGGACTGTAGTGACAGGACAAGGGGTAACAGGTTCAAACTCAAACAGGAGAACTTCAGGTTAGACATAAGGAAGAAGTTCGTTAGTGTGAGGGTGGTGAGGCACTGGAATGGGTTGCCCAAAGAAGTGGTAAATGCTCCATCCCTGGCGGTGTTCAAGGCCAGGTGGGACAGAGCCTTGGGCAACATGGTTTAGTGCGAGTTGTCCCTGCTTATGGCAGGGGGGTTGGAACTAAAATGATCTTAGGGTCCTTTTCAACATCATGGCTACTGTAAGCAGCTAAGTTATTGCAATGTAATGGCCTCTGCTTACATGGGAATGACCAGATGGCAAGACATTCACGAAAGGTACTCAACCTCAGAAATAATTTAAATCTGATCTATCACACCGAAATAGGTTTCTATTTCAGGTAACACTGGATGTTGCTATCTTTATGTTCCTTTCTTTATGTGGACAACAAAAGAACAGGATATCTGTACCTGCCTCATCTCTGTTGTCACTACAATCTCATCATATTTGCTTGCAACTGAAAGAGCTCTGAAACTTCAATGGAGTTTTTCTAAGTTTATATAAATGAAACTGTAAAATTCAACAACTGGTCTTCTGCAAATGACTGAGTCAACATGATGCTCTCCTACAGAGTTCACCTATTAAAAGGAAACTAGTCCCCTCTCTCACTCCAAGCACCTATAATGCTCATTTAATACAAACTGGGGAGTTTGGCAACTTTGCTTCAAATGCTCCAGGCAACAGAACAGAATCCTAGCAAAAGGATCTGAGAAACAGTCTCCGAGATGGCCAAGCTTAGCAAAAGGATCTGAGAAAAAAAAAAAATTTTGAGATGGCCAAGCTATAAATTCTTGGTTCTTATCTGAATTCTGCTGTTTATTATTCTCTGACTGTGAAGGATCTGTTCAACAGAAGTCAGAGGAATTTCCACCTAAGTTTCAGGTTCCAGAAAAATCAGGCTTGCGCCTTCCCTCTGGAAAGTCAAAAACTGGCAAGACTTGAAATATTTCATTGAACAGAAGTAGCATGCCATACAAAAGAAGAAACGTACCCATAAGAACAGAACTTCTTCCACATTCACTCAGCTCCTGCTGCTTTCTATCTTTTCAGAAAAGGTAGACAACATTCCTTATGGATGACACAGGCTGCTACAGTAGCTTTTTTATCAAGAGTCAGGATCTTCTACTTAAAACAATCTGCTACCGAAATACAAAATGACTAAAACTCTTCTTTTAACTGGATTGACTATATAAAAAACACAATACTATTAAATTTTGCTTCTCATTTAGGATATTCCTCTGGCTAGCATTTTATAAACTAGTGCAAAACAATAATAAATACAAAGTGGAGACAAAGTAAATCCAATAATGGGTTCTGTTACTATGCAGTTTATTTCTTAATTAACACTTTTTCATTTTTCCTCACTAACACCACCTGCCTCGATATGTGTACATACAGCAAGATGTTTTGCTAGAAAACGCACATAAAAAGTTATGCTCAAACCACCCAAAAGTTAAGATCAAACATTTGTGTGTTACTGTCTTTATCTGACAGCATGCTTGTTTTCTAAAACCACTTGTCTCATTCAGTACACAGCAGATATTATTCACGGAAAAGCTATTTTAATACTTTGCTGCTTCTTAATTGTTCGTGTGAGATGCCATGCCTAGTCAAACACTGAAGGAAGACAGAATTATTACTCATGGGTTTTCTTATGGCATTTGTAACTAAATGTCCAGATCTTCATAATGAATATACTTTCACAACACTCCTGTGAAATCAGATGGTATAATCTTACCATCAGATTCATTCCTCCACAGATGGGGAACCCATGCAGGGAAAGATTAAGGTCAAAAACATCTACTAATTTTTAACAGCCAACTTGAGATGCTGAGACTTTATCTTGCAGAATATTTAGCACTATATTTAGCTAGTGCTGTTAACTGACAGATATAGTAGGATCTCTCATTCTCAACATGGATCACCCTTTTACAAGAGAAAGGAACAAATCATAAGGGTTCACAAATGTCTCCTGCCAAGAATACAGAGGTTCAGAAATTTTGGTTAATTTCTATTTCTGAATGGCAGCACACACTGCCAGTTAGGAAATCTTCAAGTCACAATGTGTTTATTCCCTTTTTGTTAAACTGCATCCTAATGCATTTCTTAGTGGCTCATTCTTGTTTCTTCACTTAGATGAGAAGCCTGCTCTATCCATGCTTTGCTGAGACCTCTGCTCAGCCACGCTGGATTATGGCTACCTATCCACATGTCACAATTTCACAGACTTCCATGCCATTCTCTCCTCTGCTGTCTTGGAGTCACAAGAGAGCAAGGATACAAAAATATTTCCTCTAATTTGTTACTAAACCTCAATACAAGCATAACAGCTAAAAGCAGCAAATGGAGAAAATGTATTGAGTAGACCTAACTGGGAATATTCTTAAGTTAAAAAGCTTAGGTACCAATACATAAAGAACATGCACATCTTCAGGCTTAAAGACTTCTTCCCCCATAGGTATTTAAAATCTGATGGATTTGGGACAGTATTTTCACCGATACTGCAAATAGCACCTTGCTGGCAAAACAAGCCTTGCTCTAAAGCAAGGGGCACCTGCACTCCTACGTTCACATATGAAGTGCTCTTCTACTAATATTTCTGTAAGACGTTGAAATATGTGAAGAATGCAGTGTTTCACCCTACTGTCAGAAACGGCTCTCTGATTCTTTGAAACTCTGGGGCGGGGGGAAGCCCCCCAAAAAAACCAGAAAACACCCAAACAACCCACCAGCCTTGAAGCAGACACTTGGAATGGAAAAAGCATCAGTCTAAAGGGTCAAAATACGGCAAAATTAGTTACCCAACTGAAAGCTTACTGTGGCCCTGAGTGGCAGGCAATGGTTCCAGCTCTTGTTCTCACTAGAGAATTTGCTCTTGTTCTTGAACCTGTAATTTGGTTAGATACTGCTTTATTCTTTATTCCCCAAAGCTACTTCAGTACTATTATTTGTTCAGAACAGAAACCTTTTAAGTACCTTTCTGCCTTAACTCTGAAAGAGCAATTTTCAAGTTTGACAGAGTATTGAAAATACAGCAGGGGAATATTATGAGGAAGAGTAAAGAACACTACTTTGAGATGGAATAATCACTAGTCCTAAATTGTAGGCCAGTCACACAAAGTAAGTTGTTTTCTGCAGACTGACTTAGTGGATGGCACCCTCACACCTACTGCTACATATTTATTGCTAACTATCTGCAACTAAGAAATTTCAAGTGAGCATGCACAGGACTTTTCCAAAGCATCTTACAACGTTCACAAAATTAGTCCACTGTGTATTGCTCGGAGTACACAGATAGTTTGCCAATTCAGAGAGACAGTAAAAAATATTCCCACTTCTAACAGCTTCCTCTGCTATATGCCTATCTTTTGTTTCCTCTGCCATTAAATTTTAGGAAAAATGTCATTAACAATGTGGACAATGAAGGACTCAGACTTGCCACTTTCACTACTGATAAGAAAACTGCAGAAAAGTCTGTTTTGTTTTGACTTACTTTTGATCTCTCATTAACTTAGTGTTTTGTTTGTTTTGAACCTTTGGAGTGATACAACAATCAAACCGACCAGTATGACCTGATCCATTTGTACTCCCCAGGAACAAATGGTCCCAAACTTCTGCAGCATTTCTTATAGAAGGTGGTATGTCCAGATCCAATGCAGTAACAGACGTAAGTACGTTTACAATACTGCTTGTTGATTTGTAAAGCACATTTATCAGAACATGCAGTAGATATACAACTGAGTAATCTGGTCTGTTGTGAGCCTTGTGCAGTATTTTAATTTTGCAACGTCCTTGCACTTCAACAGGCTACATCATGTTTATGCTATGCAAATATCCCAGATACAAAATTAGTTTTGAATTTTACTACCTAAGCAAGGACATCTCCTGAAAACAGTAGGGAGTAGTGGATTTGCTCCTGGAACTGGATTTTATTTAAGATTAACAGACATTCCACGCTAAAAGAGCATGCAGCAGAGAACAAGGATTAATTAGTTACAAAAATCTAAGGGCTACCTGACTTTAAATTTTCAATTTACCCAAGAGACTGAAAAGTATAGATGTATTTTATCAACTCAAGCAATAACAACACTTAGATTGAAGTGTGAAGTCTGAGAAAGATAAACAGCAGTTCAAATTTGTAACAGATGAAAGCAGATCCAGTCCCAGATTCTCACACAATACCTGAAAACAGTTCAATGTCTGCAAATAAATAAAACGCCACTGACACATGGGAGAACGAAGATGCTGAATCATCCAAATGTGGGTATAAATGCATTTAGAGTCAGAAATCTACAGGAAAAGATCTTTAAATATGTCTGTACCTAAGAGATCTCCTTTTTATAGAAGCTAACACTTACCTTGGTTTGGTTGCATGTTCATGTTTGGTCTGGGACCGTAGCTGCCCATCGGCTGTCCCTGGCTCATAGTCATCTGATTCTGCACTGGCATACTCTGAGAGGATGGCACTGAGTGATTATAGCCGCCCATTGACCCATGGCTACTTGAAGGCATGTTCATGGAACTGTTTGTCATATTGAGTTGGTTAGGTCCAGGTCCTTGCATAGGCATATGATTAGGTCCTTCAGAAAAACAGGGAAAAATGTTCCACATTAAGTATCATACAGCAAGCAAATATAGTCATACTGAATCACAAAAGTAAAGAGAAGTCATTAAATACAATTACATTTAAAAAAAAAGCTAGAACAGTTCACTCATTTTTTCGAAACTTAAAAATAGTTAACAGTTGAAGTTCAGTTCTACTATGCAATTTTCTTTTGTTGAGCAACTGAAGCTAGTACAACAAAAGTGTAAATTATCACATAGTTCATCTTATATCCATACCATATGCAATCCCAGTCTTCCAGTTTCACGCAACACACTGCAAATTCCAGCCTGAATTGCACGAGAGCAATTTAAGACCAGCTTGGTAGCTCTACCACAACTATATAATTTTCACAATGCCTGTAACATTTCTGTTTATTCAAACAAACCATACTAGACACTTTTCTGTAATGGTTAATCCTGTCTCCCTCTCCCCCTGAAAAAGTCAGACACTATTAACACTGACATGGTACAAATACATGTAGAATAAAAATGGCAAAAGGCATATTTAACACTGTTTAAGCATATAAGCTATAGCCATTATTCTGTAACTGTATTTACAGATTGCTAGCGTAGGAGATGACGACTGGAAGGACAGCCACCAAATTACCACCTCACATTTCACTCTTGCAAAGATGCAAAGGAAGAGCAACCTGTTCATAAGATGTCCCTGCTCATTGCAGAGGGGTTGGACTAGATGGCCTTTGAAGGTCCCTTCCAACCCAAACTATTCTATGATTCTATATACTTATATACCAACTACATCCCTTCACCCTTTATTTCCCCTCTTCCTGACAACACAGGTTGAAATTGGCTTGTTCTCAGAATTAAATCTACTCTCAATGGGTATTATAAAAAGTATAAGCATTACAATATTATCCTATCAGCTTACTCATTACTTTAGCTGGGGTAAGTGAGAAGCTACTAGGAGTAAAATCAGTAAGAGGTGTGACTGGATATGACAAGTATATGAAATGCAAGGATTATGCATATGACAAGCACGACCAGGAGTTTATAGAGATATGTACCACCAGAGCAAGTGATAGAGAAGTCAACTGTAAACAAGGCAAGTGTTGATACATAGAGTTCACCAAGAAGATGCCATGGTTGCCAAACATGCCACAGACTTTTTTGTTAAGATACAAAACCCTAAGTAGTACAGAAAATTTTGAAAAGGAACCTAAAAGTAACTATGCCAGAAAAGTTGTAGGAAAATAGTGATTTAGCTACATATCTCCCTTTGGGGGGGGAAAAAAAAAAACAACCCAAAACAAAACCCAAACACCAGAATGCGTATCTTCCTTCAGATGTAAACAGCTCCCAAGTTCTGTCTTGGCTAAAGAAACAACTCCACTCATCTAGGACAGAATGAAGGCAAAAGAAAAGACGCAGAGTTGTACACAAGGTCACAAATGCAATACTAACTGACCTGCAAGCAAAAAGATGCAGAAGATAACAATGATGAAGGAACACAGCTACTAAAAGCCAACATAAAAACCAGACTAAGTTTAACAGTTATGTTTATCCTTTGCACTTTTCAAGACACCTTACTGAAAAGAACACAAGCTTATTTTATCAAATAAAGTGAAAAAGCTGAAAAGGTATCATATATGCAGTTCCCTGTTCACGCAAAACAAGGTGAACAGAGACTCCTTAACTGTACAAAGGTGGATGCACCAGGAATACAGTAAAAGTAACTCACTGTATAGGATTATGACCATGACAGAGAACTACAGATGCCTATGCTGTCCTCTCTTCAACTGAACACTGCCTAAATCTGTAACAGTGAGAACACAAAGACAGTTTAATTCTGAGAAAGTGAGATCACCTCTAACCATGACACCAATCATCAATGTGTTAAAATAAAGCTAAGGTGAAGAAAAGCTTCAGACTGTAGTGCCAAGTAACTGTTGCAGGATTGCTGGAAGATTACTTTCTTAATTTCTTTCCTAAGAAAAGGAATACCCAGGGTTAGTGCCAGAAAGTCAGGGCGTGGGAGTGGTTTTGCTCCTCTTTGCTTAAAAGGAAGAAAACATCAATAATGGATTTCAGTGAGCTAGCCAAACACACGGTGGAAAAAGTTCTTAAAAACTGGTAATGTAAGAAGCAAAATGAGGAAGGCAAAAAAATCATCACAAGAGAAAAGAAGTTGGAAAAAGAAAATACCTTCCCTAAAGCACTGGTTTACATCGCATGTCTCAGGTAGCACCAAAATAGAAGAAATCACCCGTAAAAGAAAACTGGCACAAGAAATGACAGGCATGTGTTATGTCCTGGGGTCAAAATCATATAGTTTGTAAGTGAGAAGCTAGAATACAAGAACAGAGGAAAAGCTAAGTCTGTAGTATCAAAAACCCTTGCAAATGAAAAAACAGTAAGAGCACACTTTACAGTTTTTTGTTTGGTTTGGTTTTTTCTAATGGTTTGCCAAAATACTTCACAGGGTTGTCCTGCACATAAGGACACAACAGTCTTTTTTTTTTTTTTTTTTTAATATGAATGAAATAGAATGGAATGTGAATGAAACATGAAGTGTGTTACCTGCCATAAAAATAACTGTTTCAAATGCTATGCTAATTAGATTGTGTTGTAATAACGTTAGTGGAATAAGCATCTATCTTGACTATAAACAGAAGTCCTTTTTCCTCCTAACCACTTATGGACAGTATCTTAGCTCTGAGAAGCTTTAAACCAGCCTAAGTGCATTTGAAAGCACATTTGCAGGAAGGAAAGACAACTTTGAGAGAACTTATTGGTAACACACAAGCACCTGTTATTCAAGAAGGTCACCTACCAGAGTGCCATGACAAAGGTCAGAAAACCCTACGGCTAGTCTTACCTTTCAACTTTCTGCATGTGATAAAACAAGCTCAAGAAATCAGGAAGGTAACTTGCCACCAGCACAACCCAGTTCACAATCTCCTTCCAAATCCAAACGTACTTTGCATCACACAAACTCTCATTCAGTGTAACTCCAGACAGTAATTTTTTCAGGTAAAAGCCATGATCTGTCACAGGTATAGATAACACTCGGTTCCACTACAGGCTGAAAAAGGTTCATCAGGACTGTCTTTCCTGGTAAAAAGGACAGACACACTCATTTGTCAGGGGATGCAATTAAGGGCTTCAGCAGCACTCTAGGTCCTTTATTAAGCAGAACACAAGCATGAGAAAAATCATCCTTTGCCCTTTAGGTAATGAGACAGGTCTATGCCACAACTTTAAAACAACTCATGCCCTGTCCATCACTAGGCAGCTCCTTTGAACCTCCTATCAAACCTTTTACCTGTACTCGGGCCAGCAGAAGCCCATGCTTGGATTAAGCCTTCCAGAAATCCTCAACTGGTATTTTTAAAAGCCTTGAATTTGTTTCTTTCAGGCTGGTGAACTTGTGGCTGTCAAGCCTAGATTCTCCCAGTTTGCATGTTCGTGACTTTGTTCCTTTTAGACAGATCACCTATCTCTTCAGATATTTAAGGGTTTATATATGGTTTCTACTACAAAGTGTCTATGTAACTTTAGAGTAAGTAAATGCCCCATAAACAGAAAGCAAATGCATACACTGCAGAAATTATTAGATACATGTCTGTGAAATACAGAAAGGCTCATATACAGGCAAACTAGCAAACCAAAAAAAACCCCAAACACTCAGTAATCCACTTAACAAAATGATTCTGTTTCCCCTTTTCCAACTATGAACTATGAAATTATTTTAGCATGCCTTTCTGATATTAGAGATGCCCTCATCCTAAGCTGTTAATCTTCACATCCTCAGAGACAACCTTAAGCAGAAAAGGGAAGAGAAAGATATTCAAAAAAGGGAATACGTTGGAAGAAAGGCTAAATTAAAGCTTAGTGGGAAACTGCATTTAAGTATCTGTCTAGGTGAATACCAAAACAAACCTATTTACCTTTCACGTATTTTCATAAGAGCTCTTTTCTTATTCTATCTAATTACAAAATATGTATGTTTAAGCAGTGACTTTTCTCCCCCGTGGCTCTGCAGTGAAGTCATTATGCTCACATTGTGACTTAGTAATCCTTCTCCTTGGAAAAGATCACTACAACAACAATAACATGATTACACTAGAGGGTCAAAGAGACTGATTTGTGAGAGGCAATGCTATCCTCCATGGGAGCTGATGGATCTTAGATGGATAGAGGACTTCACAACCAGAATATCTCTGACCTACTTAGGGAGCAGCATATACTGCTCTTTGCACTTTCAAATGCAGACCATGACCAACATGTATGATGAAAGTAACTTCTTCTCTAGATCTTTTATTACACTTCTTACACACAGTCCCTGGAGGCTATTCAGCTACTCTTCTCAGAAAAGCTGTCACTATCAGGTCCATTTTATCAAGATTTGCACAGAAACTAGAGACTACAGCAATTATTCTATTTTTTACTTCATATTAAGTTTTGCATAGTTATTTACTCTGCTGTCAAGGAGCTTTTCCTTGCGACCACCAAGAGACAAATTTTCAAAGATCCTTTGATGGCAGTTTCCTTTCTTGGAAGTATCAATACCTTGAAGAGCTTTGTATGAAAACTTCCTCCATACAAAAAAAATGAAGGGGTCCTGAACAAAAGCAATCCTGGGAATGCAATTTTAAGCTGAAAGCCAATTCACATGAAATAGGCAGTATGACTTTATGAGTGGAAATTCTGGAAAACAGCCTCTATATAAAGAAGCAAGCTTTTCCATGGCCTACTCCATTCTGATCTGACTGCTAAAGGGAATAGTTACCCCAAAGCCAGTACTGGTTGGTACAGTGTCGAATTTTATCATCTTGTTTCACTGCTTTGTTTCTGACTTCCAAGCACTTTTTATTATGAAACATGATGGCATAAAAAAAACGACTTAAAATTTACACCTAGAACAATAATCTGGAGGCTATTTCTTTACAAATCCCTTACGATTCAACACATCTTCAGTCATAAAGAACACAGAGGATTAGTGGAAGCTGGATGACTTTCTGTATAAAAGCAATCTTTCTTTTTTTTTTTTTTTTTTTTTTTTACATTTACCCACATTTGAAACGCCCTCTTTGAGGTGTATCTGTTTTATTATTATCTAATTATTTAGCTACAATCATTTCACATTATCTTTTCATGGAACGATTTGTGTTCACTCAGCCACGGGCCAATACCTTTCCCCAGTAAGCCTTCTAAAGCCAGCTGTACTGCACGGTTTCAAACAGACTAAATTTAGCCAGTTCTGTTCATCAGAGGAATGCTGTGTGTCAGCTACATCAAAGCCCAAGGGCAGCCTGATAAACACTGAATACAGGTCACGTAGCTCTGTAGCTAACAAACTCTAAGAGAGCTTGTACTCGGGGGCATTCAAAGCAGTTTTGTCATCAACAATCTAGTATCCCTTGAGCCCCCATGTCGTTTCAGTTGCCAGGCAACACTGGTGTTAATGTCTTAGAGGAGAAAAACTTACCAGGCATCTGGCCGTTCATCTGGTTCTGCATGTGTGGTGCAGGAGGGCCCCCCCCTACCATACCATCTGAAGACATGTTGTGCGAGCGCGGCGGTGGGGGAGGGCCACTCTGACTCATCCCTCCCGGACCCATAGGCATATTCTGTGTGGGTGGCTGAAAGGAGACAGTTTAGTCAAACACAAGAAGCAGTTAGTCTGACAAATATATTATATGTACATATGGTACAGCAGTTGCCTATATTGTTCAGC